TCTTACGCTGATTAAAATGATAAAGAAAACGACAAAGAACTTTTGTGTCATGATGTGATAATAAGCGGTGATCATGCCATAATAAAAATTAATGGCGATGACCACTTCCTTCAAAGCTAATTAAAATTACTACAGCAGCGCATATAATTACGATGCTATTGTAATTATAAGGATGATGATGATACCAATGACTACCACTACTACTACCACAACAACAACAACTACTACTACTACTACCACCACTAATACTACTACTACCACCGCTGCTACTACTATTACTGTCGCTGCTACTACTACTGAAATTAATAAAATACTATTACTGCTACTACTTCTAATACTAATACTTTACAACAACAACAACAACTACTACTACTCCTACTTCTACTACTACTACAACTACTACTACTACTACTACTACTACTGCTGCTGCTGCTGCGGTTACTACTACTACTACAACTACTACATTGTTTTAATTTTATTAACTATAATTAATATGGAAAATTGAAATTGGAAAAAAATTTGGAAGCGAGTGATGACGACCGCGTAGATGACAGCCTGGTGGCAAATTTATTCCACTGATTGCAACGCGTAGGAAAATAAAATTACCCTCCCCATATACGTCATCATCATCTTTCTTTTCTTGCCCATCTTCATTTCATCATCTCTATCGTTTCATCATCTACATTTTCTACGTCATCGTCTTAGTCATTCATTATGATCATCATCATCGTCGTCGTCATCATCATCTTGATCATGATCATCATCATTTCCATTATCCTCATCTACATCCTCTTCATCTTTGTCATCTTCGTCACCTTCATTCTTGCCATAATTCTTATCATAACTGTCGTCTTTCTTTACTTAATCATCCAATTTAATCATTAATTTTTCATCTAATAAATTCCCTTAACTGATAGGATAAAAAAATGAAGAAATGTCATCACAATGCTTCAACCAGCTGCTGATCGACAAACGGACTATTTAGTGAGACTAACTTTATGCAACCAAAAAACAATGGCCACACTTCTTTGCCATTTCTCCTGTTGCTAATTAATGTCATGGTTATTGACGTACGACATGCAATATAAAATACGGACACAAACACATACACACACACACACACTATCCACACACACATACGCGCACATAAATACACACACACCACACACAAACACACACACACACAGACGTACACAAACAGAAATGTTCTTCCAACAAAAACTAAATGAAAAAACATAAAGAGATAATAAAAACGTCTCCATAACTTCACATATATGCAACTACGCATGTTCAAATGTGTTTCTGTTGGCGTTTATGTGTGTTTGTTTGTGTGTGTGTGTGTATTTCTAAGCCTGCACGTGTTTGTTTGTGTTGTGTGTGTTAAGTGTTGGTGAATGTTTTTGTTTAAATGTATCTTTTTCCATATATCTGTGCTCTAGTGATGATTTAGGCTTGTACAGAAATAAGCATCTCCTTACTTTCATTTACGTACGTACGTGTTTTGTGCGAATGAGTGTGTACGTATTTCTATGTTGACGTATGAAACGTATGAACAGAACATGCATAAGTATGTGAAGGTATGTTTTGTATGTGTATGTATGTGATGCGTGTGTACGTATGTATGTACGCATACAAAAATATGTGTTGAAATGCAGTTGTATTCTGAATTTGTACGTTTGTTTTTTCTATAAATTTTTGATTATTTGCAAATTTGTTTATCGCTCTTGTTTGTCTCCAAGTGTTACTGTCACTCTGAAATATCGCCACCATCATCATCTTCTTCTTTCTTTTCATCCTCTTCATCATTCTCAACTTTAGCACCATCATCTTCATTATCATATTTGCCAGCATCACCATCATATTTAAAATCATTCACTGAATGAGTTTCTAACGTTAAAACTATTTAACATTTGTTATTCCATTTTTGTAAAGGATTCATTCTACTATGCTTTTTGTGTTTACTGGAATGTTTGTTTGTGTTTGTGTGTGTTTATGTATTGTTTTATAATAAGAACGTATGTATGCATGTTCATTTGCATTCAAATTCCTCATTTGATTGTCTCTGTCATGTTTTTGTGCCTACTGCAGCAACCATCGCTCAATTGTTGCTAGACTAGACATGTGTAAGTGTGTGAAACTTATTAGTTAGTTGATACATGTGTTAAATGCAATAAATATGCACGTAAAGTAGTATTGTTTAGTAGTATTGTTAATAATATTTTGATTAAAAATAGAATTAATTCAAACAGAATGTATAAAGGAATTGTGCAAATTATAAAAATTTAGCAGCCGAATTTCAGTGAGAACTGTAGAGAGCTAGGAAGCATTTATAGGCACATTTGCGCCATAAACAACTGTTTGTGTTAATTTTTAAACAATTTAACGTCCACTACCGGGCTGAAAAAAGGCATTTCTGAAATAATAAACATCACAAAACATCCGCCGTGCATTAATAGCATTACAACTCCTATAACTACCATTCAACTAATAAAATACTACTACTGCTGCTGCTGCTGCTACTGTTATTACTACCACTACTACTACTACCACCACACTATTGTTGCTACTTCTACTACTAATACTACTTCAGCTAACATGTTACTAACATTATTACTATTTCAAGAACACGACAACTACAATCATTTTTTCAATAAGGCCATTGGCGTTGCCACTAAAAACCTAGACAACAACGAACAATCATTTCAACTATAACTATAACTGCAACTACTACTACAACTACTACTACACTAACAACAACAACTACTACTACTACTGCTACACTACTACTACTACAACTATTATTTCAAAAAATATCAGCACTTTTATTTTGTTTTATTCATCTATTTGTGTACCGGCTTACAAACCTACAGTGAATTAACAGACTTGTAAATTTACAAAGTTTTTATACTTGAAAAAGCAAGGTTGTTTGGACAAAATTTTTTTTTGAAAAATTTTGTAGATAAAATTTTTAAAAATTTAAAGCTTCTAATTTATGAAGCCACAATTTTTAAATTTTTAAGCCAAACTTAACTGTAATCTTGATAGCGAAGAGATTGATGGGCTAGTGTGAAGTTTGGTGTAAATTTTTACTTGAAGTTTCAATATTTCACAATATTTCTGTTTCAGAAGCAGGAATTCCAGTTTTGTGAACAAAAAAAAACTCCATGCAAATAAAAATTGAAATAAAATCAAAAAATGTGCAGCACAAGGAGAGTAAACGTTGAATGAGAGTGAACTTACGTAGCATCATCACCACAATTTCAACTGCCTCACCTCTGACTCCAGCTCCAATTTTTACGACCACTCAATTTTACACTTGGATTATGACTTCTAATATTGTTACTAATGTTGAGAGAATCACCAGAAGTCAGTGCAGCTACCACAACTATCATCTGCATCGTAGCCACTGCTGTTGTCAGAACAACTTTTAATGTCGGTGAAATGAGCCAAAAGATAATATGAGAGTTATTCGTGACTTGTGCTGCCGATTTGACGAACATTGACGAGGTTACCTGGTTCGATAGCAAAGAAAATCCCAGTTGGCATGTAATATGAATACATACAATTATGCATATGTGAAGGTTGTTTGTATGGAGAGCATGTAACAGGCATAAAGCCCACTTTAAATTTGGCTACAATAACATTTGAACATTTCAACTTTCGTGTTAGATATTTAGCTACAACAACAACAACAACAACAACAACAACAACAACAACAACAACAACAACAACAACAACAACAACAACAACAACAACAACAACAACAACAACAACAACAATAATAATAATAATAATTATTATTATTACTATTACTAATATTATCATTATTTTTGTATTCATTTAAATAAATATAACAATAATAACGTTTAAAAAAATTATGAGAAAGTGATATTGATAAGAAATTTTAGTCAACTGAATTACGAACGCTACCGTAGATTTTGTATCAGAAAAAAGAACAAATGTTCATCATTCTACTTTTTTTCTCGAATTATACCGGCAATTTTCATTCATTAGTAATGTTACTTTCAAACTACAAACCTGACTAGCTTCGTTGTCGTCACAAACATGTATAATAGGTACAATATGACTTCCAACAAGGGCGAATCTTAACCACTTTGACGGGGCCGGCAAACTATGACCTGGGGTCAAAACACTTGAAATTTTTAGTGTGAGACTGTTCAAACCAACACTTCTATGGATGGTTATCACACAACTTTTTATGCAATTTTGCTATTTAAAACAGTGCTTTAAAGTTTAAAACTTAGGTAACAATGCATGTTGGCTGCATCTAAAATTAGTTACAAAAAGACGGATCTCCTTATATTCGCCATTAAATTCTACCATTAAAACCAATACTATAACTACTTACTGCAACTCTGAATGAAAAAAAATCAGTTAAAAATTTCTGAGAGAAGAAAGACAATGCTAATATTGGAAGGATGACGTTTCGATATGACGTTTAGACAGGTGCTACTCACAAATCTATTTCCATTTATTTCAAAGCAATTTTAAAATTTTTTATCAGAACTAAAAAGGACTGAACACGCACACGGGGGTCTCTCATATATAAGCGAACATGACAGCGGTGAACGAACATGACAGCGGTGAACGAACATGACAGCGGTGAACGAACTGGACAGGGGTGAACGAATACGACAGTAGTGAACAAACATAACAATGGTGAACAAACATAACTATGGTGAACAAACGTGACAGTGATGGACAAACATGACAACAACATTTCAAACAAGTTCAAACGTAGGAAGACACACATGCAAATAAATATACAAGAAAGTAGATTGAAATTCACACAAATATATATCAATGCAAGAGCATACAAAAACATAGAGATGAAGACAAACATACAAATATTTTCAGATACATAGAATCATGAGCCAGAGTCTTTTTACATTCACATAAACATTAAATTTAATGTGGACTTGTTATGAGATTTTTAAAATTTTTTTCATTTTATAATATTTTCAAATAGGTCATAGTATTGTGTTGGTTGAACTGTAATAAATAAATCCATTCAAATATTTATGAATCATGCTGAAACACATAACTCGAAACTTTGTTGATCGAGGAGCCTTGAAAAATAAATAAATAAAAAGGCAGCTGACGCAGTTGGCAGCAAGTAATGGCAACCTTTATAACTTCCGCCATGAAAACCATCGACTAACACAAACCAAATTAAAAAACATGATTGTGACAAGTTGAATAGACTTTTCACTGTGGCAACATGGAACGTTAGAACGTTGTACCAGACTGGAAAATTAGAAAACGTAAAACAAGAAATGAAAAAGAATGAATCTCTGCATTGTAGGTTTGAGCGAAACTCAGTGGAAGAAATCAGGTGTCATTACTTCTGAAGAAGGCAAATTTATCTATTCTAGAGGAATTTCACACAAACGAGGAGTTGGTGTACTATTGACAATTTTTTTTTCTATTTAGAATTTTTCTGGGAGGTGTCAGATTTTGTTTGTCAAAATACACGCAAAACCTTTCAACTTGGCTGTTTTTCAACTTTATGCGCCAGCATCTGAAAGCAGTGCTTGATGCTTCTAACAGTGACTGATGATGCTTTAAAAACATGTAAATCTCAAGAAATTGTTATTATGATGGGCGATTTGAATGCAAAAGTTGGCTCAGAAAAAATGCATGACGCGGTTGGTCATCGTGGGATAGGTGAAAGAAGTAAGAGATGAGACAAGTTGATTGAAAGGTGTGTCACAGATGTTCAAATTATTACGAAAACAAAGTAGAAAATATACTTGGAAGAGTCCCGGAGACAAGGTAAGAAATATGATTGATTCACATCATGTGGAAGGAAAGAATGGAAAATCTAACAGCTACTGGAAAGATTGCCGAAAAGAGATCGCGGTCAACAACGAACATCATTCGTGAAGTCTTTGTGTCACTTGTTGAATATCTCCACATTTCAACTACTAAAAAATATTAAAGATTGGAGTTTGTGGGAGTCGATGGTCACCAATGTCCAGAAAGGATAAGGCACGAGAAAGAAGAAAAAAAACGCAAACTTTAACGATTATTTCCCATCAAGCGTTATCAAATTATGTGGAATTTTGTACATGCCTTCCAACATAACATCATTTATTTCGTTGCATAATTTATTCTAACAATCGAGAAAATTTCATTAAGCAGTACATTAACTCCCACACACACACACCCTACACGCCCACACACACAAATATACACACACCTACACACACCACACACACACACACACACACACAAACACATACAAATTCGCATGTATCAAATTTCCAAATCTATCTACGTACATATTTGTTTATTTAGCATAAAGATGTTTGAAAAATATCTCAAAGAACCCAAAAAATTGATAGAGTTATCTTCCTAATAGGCGGAGGAGAAAAATTTCGAACATGTCCACACACGCCTTCATAAAATAAAAACTCTGAAAACGATTCTAAATTTTGTAACGTGAAACCGCGCTGAAATTATTTTTCTAAAATATTATTATTATTATTATTAATATTAATAATAATAATGATATTTCTTACATATTTTTAAGATAAATATGGACAAATATAGTAATGTTTTCATTGCTGCTACAGATGCTGCTGCTACTACTACTGCTACTACTACTGCTACTACTAACAAGAAGAATAACAATAATAATATTATTAATACTGATTCTAATTAAAAATTAAAAAAAAATTGTCCACTATATGATTTCAGTGAAATTCGAGTGATTTTCAACGGGCGGATAATTTGAAGGTGCTAAGAGGTGCTAATTAAAGATGAAGCTGATTATTATCGCGACTGTGACGACGATGATGATGGTTTTTTAAAGGATGAAAATGATGGTGATGACGAAGATGATGAAGATGATGATGTAGACGATGATGGTCGGTTGATGATGATGTGAATTAAGCTGATGATAATAATGATAATAAAAATCTCACGGACAAACTTTGTATTGATGTTAATCACATGTTTGTGTTGTGATGGTTAAGGTATGATGAGAACTTTAAAAGCCTCTAATAAACAGAGACATCATTGATGTGGCAATTATAAAATGATGACATAGCACTATGATGATGATGATGATGATGATAATGATGATGATGATAAATATAATATTTCACAGATGATGATGAAGCTTTGAAAAAAATTGAACGACATCTCTTATTGAAGAAAAATGAAAAAAATGAAAAATGGTGCAAAAAATGATTAAAATAATTTTTTTTAAATAAAACATTCTGAGTCTTCATTAATTTTTAGTTGTGCATGGTTTATTTTGGGGTTTATGATTTATTTGAGTGTGATATATCATTTAATGTTTAACTGGTATACGTTCGTTCATAATATTTTCACATGACTTGAAATAATAAATTGAAAAACAAAACGAAGAACAGTAAATCAAATGACTTTTTGAGACGAAAAAAGTTGCAGACACGTCATAGTATTCTAAATATACACCACACAGAATATTAATTAGTTTTCAAATCCAAAATCTTTTTTTTATAATTAAACACACAAGTGCCAGCTGAGAAGTTAATTAGAACATCACCACAATCATAGACGCAATATCATTATATAGATACAAATAACAAATAAGCCCCATATTAAACTTAAAATGTTTACTAATAATACATCTAAAACCCGTATAGATTTTCTATCAATTTCACACCTTTACACACATACACACACAGACAAACAGACACACACACTCACGCACGCACACATACACACACTTAATCTCACGCCACCCTCACACACCTCAACATCTCAACACCTCACTCTCTCTCTTCCGTTTCAATCTCAATATCCCAGGCACAATGATTGAAATTCATTTTAAGCTATTTTTTTTAAATCAACAAAAATGATTTTTGAAGGTTATTTTGTTAGCATCATTGTATTCAAAGAAGCGTTCTATAACGCATCTGATATTTTGAAAGGTATAGTTTTAAATTTTGGGGGAGTGAAAATGACTCGTCTGTCACTCGACCCATCCAGACCCTAACCACTCCCCGTTCTACAACCCAATAACGCCAAATGGAAACTTGATGAATATTTAATTTCAAAAACATTTGCAAACATAGCATTCAGAAACGTAGCATCATATAAAAGGTGTCTTAGTAGTGACAACCTCTTCATTCCTACACTTCATTCCTCTTCACTCATCTCACTTTTTATTCATTCTCCACTGCTCCTTATTAAATTTAACGCTTTCAAATTCAATTTTAAGATGATACTTTCCCGCTCTTTCTTGGAAATTTCTGGACGTTTATTCGAAATTCATCTCTTGATTAAATATTTTCTTTAAGGCTGAGATATTCCTTGGATTTTCTTTCTGTATTTTTTTATTTTTCTTTTACTTGAAGTTTTGTATCATCTGCTTGTATTACATGACTTGTTATTTTTTTGCATTTTCTTGTCTGTTTCAATATTAAATTTTCGTTAAATATAAGCAAATCTGTACCATTTAAAAACAAAGTTTTATAAGAAACATTAAGAGTTTGAATTCATTATATTACAATTCATTACAATACTATTCATTACATTAAATTTATTACATTAAAATTCATTACATTAAAATTTATTACATTAGAATTCATAACATTAAAATCACGTGTAATATAATTCAGGACTCTGTTTGTAATGTAGTTTGTAATGAAAATAAAAAATTGCTGGTGAGATTATTATAGAGAATGGAATGTTTGAAGAAAATTGCGCTGTGAAATTTTTTCATGTATTAATCTCTCTATGTGATCAATTATTTAACTATTTTTGAAATTATTAACTTTAAAAATTTTAATTAAATTCATCTGCTGCGTTCCATTCCAGAATATTTGAAGTTTTTTTTATAACGCCGAAAAATAACTTTGCTTTCATTTCTCTTGCTTTATTAGGAATTCAAATAAAAATTTTTGTTGAATTTTTTCGCATTATTTTTTATAACACGGGCAAGTATTTGTATGAGATAATTTAATGGTGCACGTTAAAGAAGTCATTTTGATGGCCAACTCAACCATAACATGATAATCCTGATGGTCATCTTTGTCACCGTCATCATGATCATCATCACATCATCATCATCATGATCATCATCATGATCATCATCATCAACATCATCATCATGATCATCATCATCATCATCATCATCATCAACATCATCATCATCATCATTATCCCCATCATCCTTATCTTCATCATCATCATCCTTATCACCATCATCATCACGATTGTCATGTCAACTAGCCAAAGATATTTAGATGCCCAGTTGACAAAAGACAACTTAATCTCAGTGCAGTCCGGGACTTTTCAACGAGGATGTGCTGCTACTGGTCTGTCGAGTCGAGTCGGTCGGTTTCATCGCTTCAGTCGGTATTTTTATCCTAAAAGGAACGGTTTTGTTAGACTGCTGTGTGGTTATTTTTATCACATCACTGAATACCGGTATTTGCCATCCATAAAGGTTTATTCATTAATTTTATTTCATCAATGTGTTTTTTTTGTAGAAAATTGAGAGCTACGTTTTTCAGTTGAATATTCCATTTTTTAATATCAAATTTTTTTACAATGGCGCGATATTTTTTATTCACCAGTAAAGGTTTCATTGAAACTCTTGCAGTTTGCATGCTATTTTTATCTTCTGAACACTGGCTGTTATTTGAAACGCTCAATTTTTTTGTTTTTCCTCTAGAATCCTACTTCAAATACAAAAAAGCAAAAATCATATGAATTTATATATTATAGAAAAAGTTAATCATTCGTAAAAAGTTATTCAATTTGAAAAATCAATCGGTCAGTCGGTCAGTCGGTCAGTCGGTCAGTCAGTCAGTCAGTCAGTCAGTCAGTCAGTCAGTCAGTCAGTCAGTCAGTCAGTCAGTCAGTCAGTCAGTCAGTCAGTCAGTCAGTCAGTCAGTCAGTCAGTCAGTCAGTCAGTCAGTCAGTCAGTCAGTCAGTCAGTCAGTCAGTCAGTCAGTCAGTCAGTCAGTCAGTCAGTCAGTCAGTCAGTCAGTCAGTCAGTCAGTCAGTCAGTCAGTCAGTCAGTCAGTCAGTCAGTCAGTCAGTCAGTCAGTCAGTCAGTCAGTCAGTCAGTCAGTCAGTCAGTCAGTCAGTCAGTCAGTCAGTCAGTCAGTCAGTCAGTCAGTCAGTCAGTCAGTCAGTCAGTCAGTCAGTCAGTCAGTCAGTCAGTCAGTCAGTCAGTCAGTCAGTCAGTCAGTCAGTCAGTCAGTCAGTCAGTCAGTCAGTCAGTCAGTCAGTCAGTCAGTCAGTCAGTCAGTCAGTCAGTCAGTCAGTCAGTCAGTCAGTCAGTCAGTCCGTCAGTCAGTCAGTCAGTCAGTCAGTCAGATCAATACAACAATCATCCTACCAACCAAAATACAAAACACAGACCGATCCATCAATCATAAAGTAATTCGCAGAGCATTGTTACAGAGATTGAAGTTACGTTTTCAGTTGAACTTTCTCTGTCGAATTCAACATTCTATGACATGAAATTAATCAAAAAATCCATCATCAAATCAACCAGACAACCAGCTATCAGTCATTTATCCATCCATTCATCCAATCAACCAGACAACCAGCTATCAATCATTTATCCATCCATTCATCCAATCAACCAGACAACCAGCTATCAATCATTTATCCATCCATTCATCCAATCAACCAGACAACCAGCTATCAATCATTCATCCAAGTCATAGAGTGTATAGTTGGTTGATAGAATCTTAGCTTTGACAAAGTAATGGCATAAATTATCCTATATGATCGTACAATCAACTCAGAACTCACCGTGATAAACTTTTAAAACTTTGAAACATTATTTTAAAATCGGATGCATTCAATAAAACAAACTATTTACTCTGATTCCATTTGAGAAATAAAAAAAACTTATCACAAATTTCCTCTAAAATGTAAAAGGAAAGTAGAAAATTTCTTAAAAAAAAATCCATTAAATTTCTTGCGAAATTTCTTTCAAATAATTTTCTCTGCTTGCATGATTGCATTATCACATTTTTGGTCTTTAATTCACAACCAATCATAAAAATCCTTTGGAAAAATATAATTGAATAAAATTGTGAAGCATTAGTGGAGAAATTATATAATAATAATAATTATTATTAAAAATATAATTATGATTATTATAATTATATTATAAATGTAAAAAACAACTTTGGATGGCAGTGAAATGAATCAGGTTTGGTGAAGATTTTTACTAAAATTAAGGAGTCGAAACTCGCCATCATTTAATAAATTTTTGAAACAAAAACAGCATAATTTTAAAATTCATCGTTCATTTTTCACTCGGTTATTTGATGTGGATGTGTGGACCGTTGGTGGTTGCAGTCCGCTGAAATGAAGGTTGTAGCAACAGTAACTAAAACAACGATACTCCCGTTCAACGACCTCCTTCTCTCTCTCTCTCTCTCTCTCTCATTCCAGACCGTTTTGCTTCTGACGGGTTGTTCCCACACTAAGCTAAGCGTCACTCCCGATCTACAATTCTCTCCAAAACCGGACCAACGACCTTAAAAAACACAAAAAATAATTATCATTATTAAAACGTTAAATTTACGACTTTTCTACTGCTAAAAGTACTCAACAGTTGATTCATTTTGCACTGACTCATGAATTTCAAAGCATTCCAGAACTTTTGGAAAATTCTCATCATCAAATTCAAAGAGAACATCTTAAAAAGAAGTCAACAGTCGTTCAACCTCCACCTACTTCATTCTTCCCAAAATAAATTCAATTTTTGGGTTTAACAATGCAAAATGGTTTTTCCAAATTATATTTTGTATGAATATAATACAAAGCAATGTATATTTACTTTACTAATAAAAAAATAATGTATACATCTTGTGTACCTTTTGTTATTTGGTTGTAAATATGCTTTCTTCCATATTTGAGATCCCTCCCTTCTAAGACCTGACTTCTACGACATTCTCAAAGTCGTTTATAGGGAGTACTAGTGTAGTATTAAAATTGGCAGAGGTTGTATTAGTAATAGTAGTAGTAACAGTAGTATTAGTAGTAATGTTAGTAGTAGTAATAGTAGTAGTAATGTTAGTAGTAGCAGTAGTAGTAGTAGTAGTATTAGAAATAGTAGTATTAGAAGGAGTAGTAGTAGCAGCAGTAGTAGTAGTAGTAGCAGCAGTAGTAGTAGTAGTAGTAGTGGTGGTGATGGTGGTAATTAAAGCAGTAGCCGTTATTATTGTAGTTGAATTGCGATAGTTTTAACATTAGTATTGTTAGTGGTTCTACTAGTTTATAACGTTATTGAACGCTGCACTGATCCGAGGATTTAAGGTTCATTAGGCAATAAAATTGAATATAAGACGATGGTGACGACGACGATGATGATGGTGATGGTGGTGAGGATGGTGATGATGATTACATTAATGATGATGATTACATTAATGATGGTGGTGATGATGATGCTTACATTGATGATGCTTACATTGATGATGATGATGACGATGACGATGATGATGATGATGGTGATGATGAGGGTGATGATGATGGTGATGATGATGATGATGATGATGATGATAGCAACTTTAAACTGCTGACAAAAATTAAATTATGAGAAAATTGAAAAACAAAATAGACTATCATCATCACGTCATAATCAGTTTAGTCCCTTACATTATATAAATGTTATAAAATCACATTTGGCAACTGCATAACTGGCGTCATTGTAATCATTATCCCCATCATTACCTTCTTCATCATCATCATCAT